ACTGTTGCCGACCATTTAAACATTCTCCCTCTCCTGATCATAACATTTTACTTTCTTTGACATTGAATGTGCTACTACTAGTTTATCCGTTTAATTATAGATCCACTAGGATAAATACAATAAAGTTTATCTCTCACCAAATAGAATATTTACTAAGGCATCACAATGTAACCATAGAAACACTACTTGGTATATATGATGTGTGTGTGTGTGTGTGTGTGTGTGTGTGTGTGTGTGTGTGTGTGTGTGTGTGTGTGTGTGTGTGTGTGTGTGTGTGTCTGCTCTGTCTTCTTGATCCCCAGTGAGTCGTGGTGGATGGCTGCTTATACTGAGCCAGGATCCTCTGGAGGATTCTTCCTGTTACAGTAAAAGGGAGTTTTCTTCTCCACTGTCGCTAAATGCTTGCTTAGTATGAGGATTTACTGGGTTAGGAAACTTTTTTCTGATTGGCTTGTATTGGAATGGTTACTGTGTGAAGCGCCTTGAGACGACTCTTGTCGTGATTTGGCGCTATATAAATAAACTTGAATTGAACTGAATTGAATTGAATTGACAGAGCGCCCGTGGCGCCAGTTTTGGAGAGAGGATGCGCTCCTGCATGTAGGCTGAGCCATCAGCCACCCACCAATCCTGGATCAACATCTGTGGGTTTGATCGCCGAGCGGTCATGCTCCGTGCCTCTTGGTCTGTCGCCCGACGTGATCCAGACCATTCAGAATGCTCGCACTTCATCCACGGTGGTCTCTGTCATCTCACCTTTGGATTGAGGCTTTATCAGCAACAAGGTTGATGAGGATAACATTATATAACCTTATAAAACCATTATAAACATTTACATATAAAACCATCAAAATGAAAAGCTATTTAACCCACCCGGACCTGAACTTGTATTTTGTGTGTTTAAAAAGAAAAAACACTTCTACCCGTTACAAACTGGTGGACTCTCAGAAACACAAACAAAAAATTGTACTAATGATAAAAACATTTTTTGACAAACTTCTAAAAAATAAATAAATAAAGGAAAATAATAAACTTAAAGTAAATATCAAGTGTTTCTAAATATTAAAAAATAACTAAGTTGAAGAAAATAAAATATTAAAGTGCAAGAAGCCAATGTCCACATTTGTGGATTTTATCAGAAAAATGTACATTACTTTGGTTTCCTATTTGAGCGTGTTTGGTGGCACTGGTGGAGGAAAAGAAAATGAGAATATTTTTCTCGCCGTTCCGGAGCTGAACATTTGTCTTTCCTCTTTATTTAAACATTACTCTGCTGTTTTTAGCTTCCTGCTCCTGGTTGGCTTCAGATTTTTGAATCAAAATGTAAAATTTAGTCTATTTCATATGAACACAAACACATAGCTCAACTGAAAACTCCTTTCTGTGTATTTATACGTTTTTTTTTATTGTGACCTTTGCATATAAACTGATCCAGAGGCACTTTATCGCCAACATTAAAAATACAAACTGTAAAGTGATATCTGGTTAGCCAGCTCACCCATTTGTTCCCCTCATGCAGGCGATCCAGTAAAATCCTCCTGAGAAAGTTGTGCTTTAGGTGTGTGGCTCCCAAGGATTTCTCACTGCTTCCTATCCGGAATTCCCTCAGACTACTGGTGGCAGCAGGCGTGTAATCAGTGCCAGGTTCGCAGGGCTGTGTCCGCTGATCCTCTGACCTCACCGCAGAGAAACACACAACATAAACCTTCTCCTCTTGAAACTCTGTAAAAGTATACTTGGGATATAATAACAGAGGGTTGTGTTTACCACACACTCTTCAAAAGAATAAAATGGCTCTGGGCTTAAATGTTGACATGGACACTTGCATTGATTTGTCCTGCCAAGCAGAGTTTTAGCTGAGTTAGAGCAGAAATCCCGAGTTCTTTGTTGCACCTTTAAGTCACTCTCTACTTCTGTGATTGGCAACAGCTCTCCTTCGTGAACGTGTGCGTCTAACTGGGCAACAGAGACTAAACACGGACAATTGTTCCCATTTTATGCTGCTTGTTCGTATACTTACTTTTTCATTAGAAATGCCCCAAACTCTTAATCAGTCCATGTAATTTCTCTAACGACCCTAAGTTGTGATTTGTATTAGTAGTAATTCTATGGCAAGCCAAATGAGCATTTATTCTGATATCAGGATATCAGCCAGAATTGTCATGAACATGTAAGCCATTTCTGTCCACTAGTTAACTAGTTAGACATGTTTGTGTCAACTAGTTAAATATCGAGGGTGAAAATGTGCCCACTAGTTAACTAGTGACAGCAGAAATGCGCACTAGTTAACTAGTGAACACACTGAGCAATACTAGTTAACTAGTAAGATATGAAACATTTTAACTAGTTAACTAGAGAGAATTTAGGCCTTACTAGTTAACTAGTTGACATTTAGGCTGTCACTATTTAACTAGTTGACACAAACATGGCTAACTAGTTAACTAGTGGACAGAAATGGCTTACATGTTCATGACAATTCTGGCTGATATTCTGATATCAG